GTGCATTGTGCATTGCTGTCTCATTGCTGAATTGAGACACGGGATGTTTTTTCCCTTTTTGTTTGTATTTATTTGAAAGCAAATTTCCACTGTACCCGCTTTACTCATATATCTAAATTCGCACATATAAAATAATTTATGTGTGATTTCAATGGTTTAAGTGTGTTTCGAAATATAGACCTTTTTGTATACGTTCCTTTTATGTTAATTTTTCCCAGCCTGACACTATCCATCAGATACACTAATGTATTGGATTCTCGAAAATCAACAAAAAGGTTATATTGGCGCAAATAACCCGTCTGTCAACGTATGGCTAAAGGAATTTGGCTAACTTCGACAAGTGCACTGCACTGTCCATGGCTGAATCCTTGGCCACTAACGTAATGCAAGTGAATCACTCTAAAGTGTCGTTCCTTGCCGTTTACTTCCCAAACGTTGCGATCGAAGTCATCTCAGGAAGTCTATCAAAGTTTTCCAAGCTTGCTTCCTTGCTTTGTTTGCTGCATGATAAAGAGTACACTCAGATCTTTGACCGCATCTCGAAGGTGAACAATCGCTTCCCGCAGACCTCACTCAGCGTTTCCTGACATTTCTCGGCATTTGCCGGGCCCTACTGGTCAAGGGCTCTCTACACCACTGAGGCCATAATGCAAATAGATGTTTTCGTCGAAACCAGCTTGCGAATCGCTACCTCCCGTAAGCCAGGAGCGGTCGTGGCGGTAATAAATGGCTCTCTCTCTCTCTCTCTTTTCTTATATTCAATGTATTTGCTTCTAATTTGCTTGTTAATAAAACATTACAGTCCTGAAGTCCATTTATTTCCTTTATCTCTTCGTGTTTTGCGCATCGCTCTAGGATGACAGCTTTGAAAGGGAGCCTAATTCCCTCTCGGATTACTAAGGCTCAACTGGCTGTCATCCCTTGACCCATCTCCTCCCTTGCATTTCATTTAGTCCCGTACCTAGCGCTTTTAAATCGCCTGCGTCATTCTAGAATGGGAAATTTCTCCCGATTTCAACGCATAAGTGCAACCAGACCTCTAGTACGTTGGGTCAACTTTTATAACTCTCCTCCTGAGATGGCTCAGGGGATGACAGAAAATAACCTTCATGTCTCTCTAGAGTTTTTGAAAGCGGTTTTTATTGATATGACCTTGGAAATGCTTCTATGCTTTTCGAAAGCTTTACTTTCGGCATCCGGTAGCTTTTTTCGCGGGTTATCTCCACAGTTACTTTCTTCCCTGGACACATTTCCAAGGAGCTCACACCCAAGATTTTGCACTACTCAGGTAAATTAAGGCATGGGCCCAGACTGAAAAATGCATTTTTTGAACATAAATTAGTGTTGTTCAAAGAGGTTTTAATAAAATCGAACGAAATTTGGTCTACTTAACAAAATTAACATTGCGACTTCCCTGGTAAAATATCACGTGATTTAGTCACGTGATCGACGTTTAAGGAAAGCCGATAAGAGCTGAAAAATAGACCATTTTCAACAAGAAATGGCAACACTTTTTCTGTAATTCTTGAAAAATGCAGTGGTACTTTTGAAATGTCGGATACTTGTTAAACTGTGCTTGGCCTTAGACGAAATAGTGTTCTGTGTAGAAGTAGTTTCTAACCAATATAAAAACATATTATAAAAGCATCGTTTCTTGTAAATTTAAATGACAAATAAAGTGATTTTCTTAAAAGGGCAAGCACAGAGATATGGAAGACATCATGATACACAAGTATTGGGAAGTAAAAACAGGATATCGAAGTTTAAAAGTGTTGCCATTTATTAAAATACCCTCCCCATGAGACTGTTGTCCGCCATCTTGAATTTGCCATATTGGCCGAGCAGTTCACCGAAAAGATAACCTGGGAACGACAATTTTCGTTGTCCTAGAGACGAAATGGCCAATAATATCAATGGCTAATTTCAATGGCTTGATATCAGGCCTGGCTCCAAGATTCAAAATGACGGAAGAAGCAGCATTGATATGGTCGTGGTTTGACTAATTTTTCCAATCTTTTTACCCGTTTTACTACGGAACATTTAACTACAGAAGCGGAAAACTCAAAAATGATGCTTCTGCTAATAGTAAGGTAGCCTAAATAATGTATATTTTCGTGTTTCTAG